ATATATATATATACGCGTACGAACACACATACAGAAACATTGTGCATAGATATACTTCTGTCTTTCTCACTCTGACTTCAGCTCTCGTTCCCATTCGCACTTCTCCGTCTCTCTCTCTCTCTCTCACACTCACACTCACTCGCCTTCTGTGCCCAGCCGTGGCCCTTGCCTTGACGTAGGCTTCGCCGCAGGACTGCTGACCATCGCCAGGATAGATTATGGCATCCTGCATTGAGTCTCGGGGTTGCTTGCTCAAGGATGCATGCGATATCGCCGCAAATTCGACCTCCCATGCCTTAACACCCAAAATGAATTCCCGAATCCTGTCTCCTGTCGGGGATTCGGTTTGGTTGGTGGGGATGTCAAAATAAGAAGACGCATTGCCCACCGATCTCAAGTCCTCTTGCTTGGCATGTGCAGCGAGATTCTAAACCCGAAGTCTCTGATATACTATACTATACTATACTATACCAATATAAGATTAATCTACTGTACTGGGTATAATATACTATGATATAATACTTAATTTCGGGCGTGCCGACACTTGCGAGGTCTGGGAGATTGAGATTTGGCCTTTGGCGGGTTATAAGGCTGAAAAGATGCCGGAGGCGGGCAGGAGGGATCTACAGGGTTTAGGGTTTAGGACTTAGGGTTAAGGGTTTAGGACCGCAAGTCCTAAACCTGGCTTACGGCTTTTCAGCTCTGACGGAAGAGACGCGGCCTTGATGCTCACGAAGTTGTAGAACTCGATGCACAGCCCTACATTGGGCAGCACTCGGTCCACGAAGCGCAGTTGTATCTGCCTGGGCGGCGTTTTGAGCGGTGATTTCTCGTTGTCCACACCTCCGGGCGATGCTTTGATGAGAAGCGGATGGCCCGTCCGATGACCTAAAGCAAGTCTTCGGGGTCTCTGCTGGTAGGCCTAACGCGAGACCTGACGTTCAAGTACTTTCATGAACTTACATGTGTTAAGCTTGACTCAAGATAAATAGTGTCCCTGCCGTACGGGCTGCTTAGCCAAACGCAATGCTCTAACTTCAGTTCGGAATGTAGCGAGCTAGCAGCTAGCTACACAGATAGAGGTTCACCGCACGGTCGACTGCGACGTCTGGCTGGAAGAGGGGCCCCCATATAGAGCGCACAATAGTAGGATCCTGCGAAGATGGTTTGCGACATTGCTACGTCAGGCACCCCTGGATGTGCAAAATCCTACATCTTCCGCACGAGATATCATGAGATACAACGGAGCACTATTTTCTCAAAGGGTTCATCATAAGAAATCCCAAAAGGATCCAACCAGAGAAGATGATGACAGCAGTGTTCGGGTGAAAGCGACAGTTCGCTGTGACGAAACTGCTGACAGTTCAGTTCCTGCAGAGCCTGCTAGCCAGTAGCACCAGAAGGGTTAATCCGCATAGGTCTGATGCTCCATGCAAGATATTACAAGACATGCGTAGACAGTATCGAACTCACTTTAGCATACTGACTGGAAGAGTCGGTATAAGATCAACAAGTGCAACATAAACATTCATCCGTAAACCAATTTTACATCTCATTCGGGATCCCGGCTTCTTGAGTCTATCTCGGTAATCATCGCGGAAATCCTGCCAGCCATTGGAACTTAGAAGCCAGTCTTTCTTCAAAAAGAGCTGTGGGCTTGGACCTTCACGGGCACAGAGTCACGCAACGGTATTGCAACACAGGGTCCGCCCGCATGGCATGCAATAAGTCCTGCTAGGTCCTGTGAACTGGCCTATCTTCATTTAGGATCGGAGAGTTGGGTCGAGTAGCGCCCGATAAATGCATCGCGGCCCAGAAGGAATCAGCGATAATTCTGCCCAAACACCCCGCGCTAGCAGGGTTGGGGTGGGGGACGGGGGTCCCAAGTTTTGACCAAAAACCTCCCAGAGCCCTCGACTCCTTTAACACACACTATACGATACACAGCAAGATACACAAATATTATATACATTACAGTACATGCTTCATCCTACTATTAGTTGTTGTGCAATCCCTGCCTCCGGCTTGATGGGGATGTCGTCCGCTACCAAAGCCTCTCTCGCTCAGGCTTCGTCTGACCAGTCTCAGCCCAAGTCACCACAGAACCGGGCACAGCGGAAAGCAGCGGCAACCATCACCATAAGCGGCTTGGGATTGGCCATTCTTGTCATCGTCACCATCCTCATAAATAGGCATTGCCCGTAGGCCCCTAAGTCGTTACTTTTTGGGATTACCTTACAGGATTCTAAATATAAACCCATAAAAAGGGAACTACTTAGGGGCCTATGGGTAGAGTCAGTCGTCCGGGTCTTGATGACAATAGCGGCCCTCGTCTCGCAACCAAAATGGATTGCTCCTTCATCCTACCCCCTACCCCTAACCTCCCAGGCACCTACAATACGGGGCTCTAGTACCCTATATAGTTGGTTCCCTGTGGGGGCTCGGGTACCTTTGGTCTCCATTCTACTTCCTTGTTTGGTTGAACGTCCTACAGAGCACCCGAGAGAAGGAATTAGTAGGGAGGCTGTAGGTACATTCCGAGGTCTAGGTCTTGGCGGCTGAGCTTCCAGAGGAAACATGAAAGCATCACAACAAGAGCGTGTAAAGTCCAAATCCCTACTCGGGGCAGCTTTCGAGAGCTTTTACCCTTACCTAACCCTAAGCTGGCCCCTTACTAACAGAAAGAGATCGCGAGTTGCAGTTCCTGTGCGGAACAAAGCCCTCCATTCAGTTTGGGTTCCAGCTGGGATTTTTGGGCTAACAGTATAAGGACGGGCATACTGAAATTTCTGTGGGCACCGTAAAAAGCAAAAGCTGATCAATGACTGATGCTTCAGTGTTCACTGCATTCGTACAGAGCAACATGATGCTGCAACACCAGGCCTAAACTATCGCAGAAACCGAGCCAAGCGTCAATTGGGCCCCTTCTTTTCATGTCTGTGGATCGAGGTATGCTCTGACCAGCTTTGGCACATCGCAACAGCACTAAACCGGCTCTCCCGAACTCCAGCGCATTACGGCAACTCCTCTACAAGTTGCCTGGCCAGAAAAAGCCGTGGTTGAGATGCAGAGACACCGAAGCTTGCAACGCCAAAGCAGCTTGGACTTGAGGGAACGGGTTTCCGGAAAAGTCAAGCAAGCTGCAAGACACACCTCATGATGCGACAGCAGAGAGGTTGATTTTCCCATGTCCGACAGGGGCGGCATGTCCTTACTACTGGGTAGCACTGCACGCTGCGACGATGCTTCGGCTATGCAGCGGGCGATCATACTCACTCTAGCGACTGTAGTGGTGGCTGCTCACCTGTCGGGCACAGGCACCGCCCATGCTGCTGGAGCTGGCTTGACCAAAACTGCACAAAATCACTAAGGTTCCGTCCCAATCCCTACCACGGCTCATTCAAGGAAGAAACCCACCTCAAAGCCAAAAGGACTCTCCGGCAAGAATGCGAGCTGCTATCGCCCCTTGATCTCGCTGCTGCTTCCGTTGCCGGCGTGCGGCTTCTTGCAGTTGCCTTCTTCGCACGCTTGCTTCTGCGGCTGTGCAACAGTGACAGTGGGTGCAACTGTCACCCTTGTAGCACCCGCCCGCTCTGTAGGCGAAGGCCACACATGGATGGCATTGCCCTGCCTTATGAAGCTGAAACTTCTCCGAAGCATTGGCAGTGAAAAAAGCGGATTTCGTGCCCGTCAGCGAGATCGGCGAGTCAGCCACAGCCTCCGAGAATGTGCCACCCGTGCTGGCCGGTGATGTCGCAGGCGAAGCATGCTTCGCCTGGAAGGAAGACGAGACTTGTCCTGCCTCGAACTTTCCGAGAAGCGCAGCAGGAAAAGGAATCTGCGTCAAAGCCATGTCCCTCGGGGAGTTTGACCTCCCCGCCTGTATATATCACGGAACGGAACTTGTTTGGTCTGACACACAAAAAACTTGAGCCGCAGCCGGCAGTGTGTAAGCAAGTCCATGTGGTTTGGCACTTTGCATGCCGGCGTTAATATGTAAATCTAGATCTATGCTAAGCGCAAGCGCCTTTGCTGGCACAACCGCCTCTGCTTCTTACGGCCGCACTCTTCTCCGTGTATTCGAAAGGCATCGCACGACTAAGCCGAAGCATGTGTCGGGACCTTCTACAGAGCTATCGAATCCTTCGGTATGTCAATGTGGATTCAGGGCTTCGGCTTCAGGTGTTAAGGCTTATTGTTCAAGGCTGAAGGCTTACGGACGGCTCTGATTATATAATCGCTAGAGTACATGAACAATATGACAGAATACATATTCGTAAATTAGTGTGCATTATTAGCTAGTACATTGTAATACCTTATAGTAATCTAGTGAATCATTGGTGTATTATAGTACATTATTAAATTATTAATGTACTGCCGGAGTAAAGGGGTTCACAGCACCGTCAGCTGCGGCCCCTGCCAAGGTGAACATGAGGCGAAACGCGCTGTTTCTGGAGCCTGCAAGATGCCGAAAAGGTTTCAGGGTTTGGGGAGGGTATAAGTCTCAGGAATTTCGGGATTCTAAAGTTCAATTGCGAGTGCTTGAAGCGGTGGATCGTCATTGAAAGTGTACCGTGCTGCGCTCACAAAACCCCCTCCCCAAGCCCTAAACCCTTAAACTGCCGAGAGCGCCGCTAACCATTTGCATGGGCTCTCGAGGCTCAGACCGAGGCCCTTGGCCGAGCATCCTGTCAAAAACGGTGAAGGAGAGTAAAGCCTCCCGGTAGCACCCTGGCCCCTTCCCCCCTGACCAACCGCCTGCCCCTTTTGCACTGCCCTGCCTGGTCCAAGAAGTGGCGCCGGGCCACCATCCTAGTCTAAAGCACGCTTTGAATTTGACGTGGAGCAACCCTGACAGGGTGCGAGGGGCGAATTGTTTGTTGGGAACCCTT